CTTTGGTTTATCTCTTTGGTTTATGCCTTTGGTTTATGCCTTTGGTTTATCTCTTTGGTTTATCTCTTTGGTTTATCTCTTTGGTTTATGCCTTTGGTTTATGCCTTTGGTTTATCTCTTTGGTTTATCTCTTTGGTTTATGCCTTTGGTTTATGCCTTTGGGTTATCTCTTTGGGTTATCTCTTTGGTTTATCCCTTTAGTTTTGTGCCAAAAATAAACTTATGTTCCTCAACGGGCGTGTATCACTTTAGTCAGGTACAGAAAAACTATTTCATTACTTATTATTTGGTGTTTTTTGGAGCGTATGGCGTTCTGACCTTAAGTGTTTGTTTTTTTCATGAATAAAGGGATACACATTCATTGAGGTAGTTTAAAGTCTTATTTTTAGTACAAAGCTAAAGGGATAAACGGAAGTCTGAAGTCTTGCGCATGCTTATTAAATATAGGTATGCTGGTCTGACAGAAAACCAAATTGCCAAATTGGTAAAATTAAAATGTTCAGTACGCATTGCTAGCTAAAAGCTTGATGTTGAATCCTTAATTTGTAAACATTTTATCTCCATCGAAAATATCTGTATCAGAAGTTTAAACATTCACACATCTCCTTATGATTGTAATTAAAATGCTCTTTATTTAGCACTGTTGTGAAGTTTAAAGACCATAACCTCCATGTTGGTTTTCAGGTGGCGTTGGCGGGATGATGACCTTGCTCCCCATGACATGACAAACATCATTAAAATCCACAATAAAAACAACGAGCAGGCCTGGCAGGAGATCCTGAAGTGGGAAGCCTTGCATGCCACGTAAGTTACACTTATTCAGGCCCTTGTCCCACTTTGCTGATTTATCCAGCGTATGCCTGAAGTCCCACCATCTCCTAAACGCTGGCATACGCTAAGCTTTCCATGTACTTTTTTCTATGTACTTTTTCCATTTTGGGCGTATGCATAGAGTATTCATAGCGAGTCCAGAACTTCTGTCCAACAACAGCCTAACCTATGCATAACGCACGGCAGCGTAATGCCCATGGGATGATGCGCAAGCATCATGTAATGGGCAGCCTTTACGTACGTCAACCATCAGATAACTGACCAGGAACTTATTGCTCGGGTGTGGCACACGCTGGGATACAGCGTACTCGCTGTATGCCAGTGTGCTCCAGCGTGTCTCAGCGTGCTCATAACTGATATGAAACTTACCCATAACTTACTCAACGATTGCCAGCCTTTTTGGCAGATTTTTCGTACATCAGGCGAAAATAATAAGTAAATCGCCAAGGTGTGACAGGGCCTTTAGTAGCGCAGCTTTTAAATGAGGAGCAGCTCTTAACGTGTGGGGTCATGTTTTTCCCAGGGAGTGTCCCTGTGGGCCCACGCTGAAGAGGTTTGGAGGCAAAGCCAAGGAGTACTCTCCCAGGGCAAGAGTCCGCCACTGGATGGGGTGAGTACCAGTCTGCCTCCATCTTCTGCATCAGTTCACCTCATGATAGGAACAGGTTTAGATAATAACAACTTAACTGCATGGGATTAACTCAGCATGTCTCCGTAGCTACGAGCTGCCGTTCGACCGCCACGACTGGATCGTCGATCGTTGCGGGAAGGAGGTCCGCTACGTCATCGACTACTATGATGGCGAAGTGAACCGTGAAAACTACCAGTTCTCCATCCTGGACGTGCGTCCCGCCTTCGATTCCCTGGATGCTGTGTGGGATCGAATGAAAGTGGCCTGGTGGCGCTGGACCTCCTAAAAGACTCTCCTGAGTCCCATTAAAAGACTGAAGAGGGACTTTTTCTAACTCACTGTGGATTCTGAGCTTTAAAAAAACAACATGTTCTATTGAGGAAAGGAAAGATGATTGATTATGCTCTTGTCTTGAGTTGACATGATTAAAGCAGCGTCCATCTAACTGCAGGTCAGGGTTGAAGCACAGCTGTGAGTTTTAGTTTGAAGGTCATTAAAGTAAAGATGGAAAATTCTATTAGTTCTGATCAGCAGAAACATTTAAACGGCCTCAGGTTAGTCAGCAGAGCTGTTCTTGGGACATTTTCCTCATTCTAAAACTTGGCTTCAATCCATCTATGACACGTTTAGTGATGAGTCTGATCCATGGGTGACCTTTACTTTATGAACCTCATCTGCTGTAATAACGAAGGCAGTGATGGAATTATTAAAGGTTCAGTTTCAGTCACCTTGGTCATTTTTCAGCTGAATCATTTCACTTCACATGTATTTATTCAATCCTCAAAAAACAAAAACGGGGTCATTTAAGCTTAGGTCATCATGATGAATCTGAACTGATAAAATACAACAATCACCTTCCGTAATCTGTACTATAAGGCTGCTGGTTTGGCTCCATAAACCTGTTTAGGTAGCATTTTGCTTTGAGTTTAGGGAAGAGTTCAAAGTTCCTGTTGTACCATGGTTTGAAGTTTGGTGATTTATCTTCAGAGTGTACCTGAGATGTAAATTTGAATTCCCTCAACCTTAGAGACAAATGCACATGTACAATTGATTGGTTTAGGGACTGTTGCGTTTGTTGAATTAAAACGTGAGGAACTTTCCTTATATGATCCGACAGTGCAGTGTCTGTGATCTGTTATGTTTTTAAATCTATCAATAAAAGGCGGTGCTGATCTTCTGAATTCAGTTCTACTCTGTTTATTTCTATAGCACTGATTCACACCGCATGTCATCTCAGATCATCCAGTCAAATTGATTTAAAGTTTTCTATCTAAGGAAAACCAGCTGATTGCATCGACTCATTAGCTACGTTTACATGGACACAAATAATCGGATTGAAGGCCTGATCAGATCAAAAATGTTTCATGTAAACATGTCAGACTGAAGATTCTAAATTTAATTCCGAAAGAGAGAGGTGGTTTT